TCTTCCTTCCTAACTTTTAGTCTTTGAACAAGTGATCTAGAATTATCAAATTATATCAAATACCTACGACTATATCTCTAATAAACTAAAGATACTCTCTTTCTGGATCTTTTCCTTAATCCTAATATTGCCAGGTACTACTGTCTCGCCTCCGTGGCCGCCCTCATGAAGTACATAGAATGCATCCAGCACGTGACGTATGCTCCCCATACCCTCCACGTTGAGCTTTCCACCTCCGAAAACACCATGAGCATCGGTAAGGCGTCCAAGAATACTGTGCTTGCGTTCACGATGTCTTTGGAAAACGAGAAAATTTCATTCTTCTGCTCTTCATTATTATTATTATTATTTATTATTATTTTTATTTTTATTTTTTGCTCGTTTTTAAAATCATATATATATATTGACGGAACATTCCTGGATAATTGAGAAATTTGTTCGGTCATTTTAGAAATGCAAATCTGATAAATTGCACAAGCACATTTATTTTTCCCTGGTGAGTCCGTCACTTTTGGAATTAATCCAGGTATATTGCTCTGGTTTATTTGTAGGTTACCCATGTATTCCTATTATAAAAAAAAAATAAATGAGAGGAAATACATATATCGATTTGTTGTTAAAACTAAATAAGAAAAACAAAGAGAATGATCTATTCCTAAATGATGGATTGAATAAATCACGAATTAGATATTCCACAAAACAGATTGCAAGCTAATATTAATTTGAACAGATCGCGGCCTAATAATCATGATAATAATGATTATTATTATTATCATAATAGCAATAGTAACAATAATGGTAATAATAATAATAATAACAATAATAATAATAATAATAATAATAATAATAGTAATAATAATAACAGTAATAATAATTAAAAACAACAACAATATTAATAATAGTAACAATGATAATAATAATAATAATAATAGTAATAACAATTACAAATCCCGGCAGAGCACTCTACTTGTCGCAAGCTGGAGTTGGTGCGGAGTCTCCGCGGCAGCTGGGAGGACTCGCTCTTCGGCGCCCTGCGGCACACGCGGACTCCGGGGGGCACGCGCCTGCTGCGCGCCTCCCTGCTGCAGGTGCGCGCGCGCGGGTGTGTGTATATGTGTGTGTGTGTGTGTGTGTGTACGTTTGTTTGTGTCTGTGTGTATGTCAGTTTTCTGTAGGCACTTTCCTTCACGTTATCACTGGACACCAAGAAGCAGGACTACATACCTTTGTAACATTTTGTTGTTATTTTCCTTTCTGGGACTATATCCGAGAACAAGTAAGAAATATTATTTCAAGACCAACTACCTCAGAAGGAGAGAAATTCATCTGTCCTTTCATTTTATTTACCCATTTATGCCCGTTACGACAGGTTGGCATTTCCCCATTAGAATTACAGACTCAGAACCTCAATATACCCCCTAATGCTTAGTCTTCGAGTGCGACAAGGAGTCCTCACCTTTAATTCCAAACTGAATTCCAGCCCCACGCAGACGTCTCAACCATCAACGCGCGTCTGAATGCTCTTCAGTATCTGGTTGATAACCCCGACCTCTTCTACACGCTGCAGGTAACATTCAGAGTTGTGTTATGCATCCTTTCGTGTGATTTGGAGATTATTGTATCTGTATAGAAACGTTTTCATGGATTTCCAGTTAGTTTGTGAAGTTATTTTTTACGTAAATCTTTATGCTTAGATTGCAGTGCAGAATGTCTATGAATGTATATGTTTTTGTGTGAAAATTTACTATTTTTCTTCACTGGCAGAGCATTTTAGGGAGGTTTCCAGACATCGATTGGCTTTTATCAATGTGCGCTCAACTTCATAAGGAGGTAAGTTTTTTTCGGTGTGTGTGTATGTGTGTGTGTATGTGTGTGTGTGTGTGTGTGTGTGTGTGTGTGTGTGTGTGTGTGTGTGTGTGTGTGTGTGTGTGTGTGTGTGTGTGTGTGTGTGTGTGTGCGTGCGTGCATGCGTGTGTGTGTGTGTGTGTGTGTGTGTGTGTATTTTATTGTGCTATGATTATAGTATAGCTAATGTTACCTAGACTAGATTAGTAGAGTAGCCCAAAATAACGAGACTTAACGCCTTGTAGGAACCTGTAATTATTTTACATTATACAAACAGAATACTTAAAGCAGACAAATGGTGAATAGATTGAATATATAGGACATCCAAATCTTAGAACTCATTGTTTTTTTTCCGTTTCTTTCCTTTTCTTCCTTTCTTTTTCTTTCTCCCTCCCCCTCCCCCTCCTCTTCCTCCTCTTCCTCCTCCTCTTCCTCTTTCTCTTCCTCTTCCTCTTTCTCTTTCTATTCCTCTTCCTCTTCCTCTTCCTTCCCCTTCGTCCACCTCCCCCCCTCCCCTCCTCCTCCTCCTCCTCCTCCCCTCCTCCTCTTCTTCCTCTTCCTCCTCCTCCTCCTCCTCCTCCTACTCCTCCTCCTCTTCCTCTTTCTCCTCCTCCTCCTCCTCCTCCTCTTCCTCTCCATCTTCCTCTTTCTCCTCCTCCTCCTCCTCCTCCTCCTCCTCCTCCTCCTCCTCCTCCTCCTCCTCCTCCTCCTCCTCTTCCTCTTCCTCCTCCTCCTCCACCTCCTCCTCCTCCTCCTCTTCCTCTTCCTCTTCCTCTTCTCCTCCTCCTCCTCCTCCTCCTCCTCCTCCTCCTCCTCTTCCTCCTCCTTCCTGCAACGGGCGGCAGGACACGGAGCAGCGTTGTGAGCTTCGTCTGAACTACGTGATCTCTCTGAAGAACACCCTTGAGCTCCTGGATCCCCTGGCCACCACCCTCGCCGGTGCCAGCGACCCGCTCCTCGACTCCGTCAGGCAGGTAATCGCCTCGCCGAAGTCTGTTTGCAAAGCCATGTTGATACGTGACAATGTTATTGATTAGGGAACTTCTACTGAAACGGAATAATGAAACAAGGACGAAAAAGAATAAAGCAGTGGAGGAGACGAAAAATATATATATATATATATATATATATATATATATATATATATATATATATATATATATATATATATATATATATATATATTATAAATAAATATTTTCGAGTTTCTGGCTCCCTGACATCCCTCTCGCTGGTCCCAGAGCGTGTCGAGGCCTGACCTGCAGGAGCTCCTGGAGACGCTTCGGGGCGTGATGCACGAGGACGCCCGCCTGGTCAAGGGCGCCGCCGCCATGAGGGCTCAGCGCTGCTACGCCATCAAGAGCCACGTCAACGGCCTGCTGGACGTCGCGCGCAAGATCTACTCGGAGATCATCGACGACATCACGGGTGAGCGGCAGAGATGGAATCAGGGCGGCGGGGAGTTCCGGTAAAAAGGGAGTGGAGGAGACGAAGAAAAGATAGACACAGTTGACGCTTTAAATGGCAAAAGGTGCTCGGAAAAATACTCAGATTCCCAATTCATTTACCTTTATGATGTAAAATTGTTTCCAGGCCCTTTAACATACTGACCAACAGTTCATAATTTTAGTTCAAACTTACCCCACACCTCTGCTGTCCTCGAGGGGATCCTTCTCCTTCCTCGCATCCCTGTCCTGAGCCTCCCATGCTGGTATCGCAATATCGATCACGAAAAGCTAGATATCTTCTGAGCGTTTGACAGTGGGCTAGGGCGTGGGCGTTGTGAAAGAATGCTAATCTAAATATTACTGACGATTATAATCTCTGTCCGACGCAGCCCACGTAGAGGAGCTCGCCAAAGATCACAGCGTGGGCATGAGGGTGGGCCACAACGCCGCCCGCGGGTTTCATATCGCCATCCCGATACCGAAGAGGAAGTCAGCGCCTCACCTTCCTCCCGTGTTTATCAAGGTAAAGATTCTGCATGGACGAACACACATTCATATTATGATGAAAGGTGTTTTTTCTTAAAGGATGGAAAAAGAAGGTGAAAAAAAAATATTTTTTTTAGAACTTCCCACTTTAATAACTTAAATTGGTTCACGGAATATGCTATGATATACTATATGTTGTGCCTAATAGTCAGCCAAAAACATGAATAAGAAGAGAGCTGAATCGTCGCCTTCCCCCAGGTACAGCGAGGGCGAGGAAGCATCACCTGCACGACAGAACACCTGTATTTGCTCGACCAGCGGTCCCGTGACACACTCAGGGAGATACTCATCATGAGTAATGTGTGAGCATTCACAAAAATGTACTTGTGTTAGGAATTATGTGAAGGGTTGAACGTGACAGAGTATTAGTCTGCTATTAACGTCTAGATGTTTACTTTATTTTCTCTGTTGATTTAGATATCTCTGCTATGGGTCTTGCAAAGCGGCAAGGTGTGATATGAATTATGCTTTTCATAAAAATAACTTTAAAGTTACCGTAAACGCATGAAAAGTATGCCTTACTCTCCATATTAGTTTTCTATAAGACCGCGCATTATCTGTTTCTCCCATTCAGTTTACTTTCACTCCCTCGGCACTCATGTAGTCATTTCTTCGAGTTCCCTCCCTCACGTTTCCACGCCGCTTTCACAGGATCGTGTCAGAGATGCTGATAGAGGCGCGCGGGCGTATGGGCGCGCTGCATGGACTTGGGGAAGCCATAGCCACTTTGGATCTGGTGGTATCTCTCGCCCACTCGGCCGCCCTCGGGTCCTGGGTCAGACCCGAGTTCTCCCGCGCCCTTGCCATTCGCTGTGGCAGGCACCCGATCCTAGACGTGCTCGCGCCCACGCCGCCCGTCCCAAACAACACGGTAAAGGCCTCATGGCGGCTGTGTATTTAAGTGGTTAAGGATGTTTGCTGTGGTAATAGTTACCATGGCAGTTGCTGGGGCGTTTGTGATGACGATATTCATTATAACCTTTTTGTGTGGTTGTTAATTGTTACTGGATTTTGTTACCTGAATTTGTAGTGTCAGTAGTAGCAACAGCAACATATATTTTAGAACAAAGCGATAATTATCATCAAAGGCTTTTCCTGATTTTCAACTTAATTTCACTTTTAATGAGTGATTTCAGTGTAAGCGTTTAATCGAATAAGTATTTCCCTCATTTCCTTTCTCAGTTCCTAAGCCCTGAGAGCCGGGTAATGGTGGTGACAGGACCGAATATGAGTGGCAAGAGCACCTACCTGCGGCAGATCGCGCTCATTCAAGTGCTGGCTCAGGTTTGTGTGCATTGGTGTTGGGTGCACATGCAAGCATTCAGGCGCTTCCTCGGGTTTCTGTTAATTTGAGTATATATGTGCATTCACTTATTGCTAACCTTTGAAGCTATATGCAGCTCAATTTATATCTTAACTCAGGTATGTAGTTTTATGAATGTATATCTCGAGTTCCTTCTTATATCACCCAATATCACTAAATAACTTCTCGCCCATTCCAGACTGGCAGTTTTGTGCCAGCAGAATTCGCGTCCCTCCGCGTAGTGCGTCATCTGTTCACGCATTTAGGGTCCGAGGATTCTCCAGAAAACAATGCGTCCACCTTCCAAGTACAGGTGAGTTCATAAAGGCGGAAGGTTATAAGAGATGGTTTAATTTGCCTTGTGACAACGATAAGCATGTTGATATTCCTTTTGACTGAGATCTGTGACTGAAAAGAGTCTTTTGGAAACAGACCTGGTCCTTTTTTCTAAACGTTTCCCCCTCCAACACCACCTTTCTTGTGTGCCCTCTTCGCTATCCTCCGCACACTGCGCTCTGTATCACTCAGTTTGTCAAATCCTCTCTCAGATTTCCAATGCCTGTCCTCTCCACGCTCTCCCTTCCTATATCATCGACCACTTTCCTTATCTTTTTTTTCATCAAGCGCGCATCCATGACCATCCTCCCACATCGTTTTTTCTCCTTTCTTTCTCCGCCGCGTTCCTCCATCCCCATCACCTTTACAATCCATATGATGTACTGATTATGCATATAAAGTTTCCTGTTACCTCTAAAGTCTGTACGATGTATTGCTTATGTACATAAAATTCCTCCATCACCTCCAAAGCCTGTCTGACGTACTGATTATACATGTAAAGCATCGCAACACATAACACAGCACACCTTCGTCTCGCTCGCCCCCAGATGAGTGACGTGGCGCACATGGTGGACGGGGCGGGGAGCGATTCCCTCGTGCTGCTGGACGAACTCGGGTCAGGCACGAGCGTCGAGGAAGGAGGATCCCTCGCCTGGGCCGTCATGGAGACCCTCGTGCACGCCCGCGCCACCACCGTGCTCGCAACTCACGCCCTCTTCCTGACCAAGCTCCCGTACCTCTACCCGACGGTCGTGAAGTGAGTGTAGAGTGTGGGCGTGGGGGGGAAGGCTTGTTTCGTTTTCGATTTTTTTAGCATATTCTGTGGTGGCGCAACGGGTCGCCATGGCGCCTCGGAGAGTGACGGTCGATGACACCGCCACGATTAAAACGCCCAGATAATTGTTGATCAAAATACAAAATTATTCTGTTATGAACGACAGAAATATGAAGACTGGGAGCGGTGATCATCTTTGAAATTTTAATATGTATGGAGGATATATATATGTATGTGTGTAGATATATACATATATGTATATACATACATACATACATACATTGTGTGTGTGTGTGGTGTGTGTATATGTGTGTGTGTGTGTGTGTGTGTGTGTTTATGTGTGTATTTGTGTGTGTGTGTTTGTGTGTGGTGTGTGTGTGTGTGAGTGTGTGTGTGAGTGTGTGTGTGTGCGGGTGTGTGTGTGTGTGTGTGTGTGTGTGAGTGTGTGTGTGTGCGGGTGTGTGTGTGTGTGTGTGTGTGTGTGTGTGTGTGTGTGTGTGTGTGTGTGTGTGTGTGTGTGTGTGTGTGTGTGTGTGTGTGTGTGTGTGTGCGTGTGTGTGTGTGTGTGCGTGTGTGTGTGTGTGTGCGTGTGTGTGTGTGTGTGTGTGTGTGTGTGTGTGTATATATATATATATATATATATATATATATATATATATATATATATATACATATATATACATATATACACACACTAGGTATTGCGGGGATAAACTAACTTCATCCTGTGTTGTGTGAGTATCCGTAACGATCCGGTAGTATCTTGTCCAGAAAAAAATAGATAAATAATCATTCCGGATGCATTCGATTTGCCGCGCACAGATACCTAACGTTTTCACAGCTGCTGTAAATCATATTCCCAATAATTTGTTCCTACAACCTAATCTGTCAAATCCTTTAGCTACTTTTGTGAGGGTGACTACACGTTGAAATGACCCCCGCCTCACGCTCCGCCTTCTACTGTTCCAGCTATCACCTGGAGAGCGAGGACGAAGGGGGCGGCCTGCTGCGCCTCAGCCACGTCGTCCGCCGGGGGGTCACTCAGGCCACCCGCTACGGCCTCGCCCTCGCCGCAGTCACGGCCATGCCTCCTTCGGTGCTACAGCGGTCCCGACACCTCGCGAACGTCATGGCGCCGCCGACGCAGGTAAGAAAGTAGTGCGTATAACAGATAAATTATAGGATGTCTGGCCAACCAAAGATGATGTTTGGGAAAATCAGATGGTTTCTTTGACATTCGTGTTTTGCGGCTATGTGGTCTCGGAGGCAAGGATCTCGTCAGTTTTTTTCTAACATGCAACCAGTTTAGATTTGGAGATTTCCTGATGGCAGGTGAAATCCCTTTTTTCACGTGTTTTGCAAAAAAGATCTTGCATTTTTTTCGTGTCAGTTAATTACACTTCATTCGGCGGGCAAAAACAGCTTTCATAGAACACATAAATACGCGTCTTACTTGCAAAAGCAGCAATAACTTTAATCTGTCCTCCCGCAGGTCGCGGTGGAGGAGGACGCGGAGAGCCTACGATACCGCGCCGTGTACCGCCTCGCACACCGCCTTCTCGCCCTGGCCAACGCCGCCCTGCCAGCATCGAGTCCTCCCGGCGACTCACTGGCTAACTGCGCAGCTCTGACCCCGTGCGCAGCCACGTCGACGGCCCTTCAGCCCACCGGCAGGGACGAAACAGCGTCGGAAGCTTCCCTGCGAGTGGGCGCTCACGATCTCACGGCTCTCAGCGATTCCCGTGCGACGGAGCTGAGGACCAAGCTACAGTGCCTGCTGCAGGACTTCATGGCGCAGGTGTCCGGCGGCACTCAGGACGCGCCTCAGCTGTCTGAAGATGACGGTGACGGAATTCAAGGGTTAGATTAAGAAATAATTTAGAAAACTGCATTCGAAATGTAAACTAGATGTTGATTTTGGCCGTTGTTTGCCTGGGGATTTAGTATGAGAGCGGAGGAAATACTACAGAAGAACCAAAAGGTCGGAAAAGATTTACAAATGTCAGCTGGGTGTCAGGTGTTGGAGGAAGTAGTAGCTAAGAATGTATAATGTCTCCGGCCTAAATGTTTTCTTCTTCTATTGTGTTTTTGTTTTGACATTTCATATTCTCGACAGTTTAAGAAAGGAATGTGTTTCTGAATATGTCTCCTAATGAAAAAGAACTTAGACATTTGGCTGAGTTTTTTTATCCTATCATAACATAAAATATTTAGACGAACCGCAATTCCACATCTATATCAATATTCTTTCTCGATTCTTATATTGCGTACATATCAGTGGGTTAGATATTGTAGCTGACACCTTTCACCTCTTCTGTTTTTTTACGAAAACCGTATACTTACATCTAATTTATGTAGAAAAAGTACGAATGAGGCTTAATATATTCACAATACAAGAGATATTTGATCGGTTTCGATTATATCATCGTCTGATATACATGTATTTCTGACGAAGATATGATCGAAACCGGCAAATACATCTCTTGTATTGTGAAGATATTCATTCTCATTTATACCTTTTCTACATCTGTTGCATTGAATACGGTTCAACCTAAGTATGTATCTAAAGGTATCAATATCCTCAATATATGTATGTATATATATATATATATATATATATATATATATATATATATATATATATATATATATATATATATATATATATATATATATATATATATATATATATATATATATATATATATATACATACACACACACACACACACACACACATATGTATGCATACGTATGCATATTTATATACATATGTATTTATACGTATATATATATGTGTATATATACACACACATACATACACACACATTTATATATATATATATATATATATATATATATATATATATATATATATATATATATACATACATATGTATATGTATTTGTGTATATATAAAAGTATACATATGTATATATATGCATGTATGTATGTATGCATATATAAAGATATATATGTATATATATGTATACACATACACGATTGTATATATATGTATACACACATTTATATATATATATATATATATATATATATATATATATATATATATATATATATATATATATCAGTACTCTACAAATGAGATTAGTTTATCTGTTGAATAGACAAGAGTAGTCCGGCAAAACATTTGAGTAAATTTAGATATTCACCGTAAACCAGTGCTTCTCTGCATCGTTACAGTTATGGTTTGTTCATTTGTTTGTTTACTGTTTATTTCTGTTATATCATACACCAAAATCAAGTGGATAAATAATGTTCTTTTATATACATTCTCCTTTCCTTTCCTCTCCATCACATTTTTCTTCTTATCATTATAAATATCATAATCATCGTAATCATTAGCATAATAACGAAATTAAGACCCAATTCACCATGAGCAATACCATGAATATCGCCAATCGCGTTTACATAATTCTCCGTCCGTGTCCCTCAGAAATCGGTATCTTGGCTATGTAAACAAACCCGTAACGTGTTGGGACGCGAGCAGGATGGCCCTTGCGAGAGGCCGGACAGAAAACTCCTTTTCTAATGGGCCACAGACCGCATTCGCTATCTGATTTGTTATCTGAGATGATTAGGAATCAGCAGAGAGCACTGCTATGGGACAGAATGTGGCTAAAATCGGCTTCCAGGGGAAAGTATTGACTAAAATTGCCCGGGTCCAGCGTGGTATAACCTGTGTGATGGTGACGAAAGCCTTCCACATGCACGGGGTCGCCAGGAGAGGAGACACCAGAGACCCCCAGCTCTTGGGTGAGTACGAGTGGAAGGTCGTCCTGTGGTAGGAAGTTGATAAGTTGAATCTCTGTGTCGACTTGGACTAGTATTTTAGCTTTTGTCTGGGGTTATGTAATGGAGAAAATGTGCAAATTGTAATGTGTGGATGTATTGATTTTTGTATATTTTGGTATGTCGAGACTGGAAGCCTTGTTTGGGGTTTACAGTAACTCATCTGCACTCATTAAAGCAGTTCATTTTTCATGCAGAATTCATAGCTTAGTATAGGCCCACCTGAAGTAATGCTTGTGGCCCCCATGGTTCATGCTGCGGCAGAGGTCATCGTGCCACCCCTTATATGTTTATTGAAACTGAATTAGGTCTGGCTCACTGTCTTACGACGAATTACCAGAAATGCACACAAGCTCAATGTCACAAGAATATAAATGGTAAAAATATACTTGCTTTTCATAGAAGACATAGTGCAGAGGCAACAGTTTACTGGATTTGTGTGAATGTGGGTTGCAAACTATGGTAGTAGACTGTGGTCTTAGCTTCTGCAGACTATTTTTTCTATCCATTAGTGTTCCCTTTGCTCATTTAATTATTTTTTTCATTATTTGTGTAGTCATAATGTAAACATGTACGTAGGTCTTGATTATAGTAACAAGCTTGCAAACTTAGCATGGTTTTGATATTGTTCATTTATGATTAGACAACCATGGCTTCCATTGTCAACAGGGCATGGAATCAGTAGAATGATTTGATTTTGGATATTTTCATTGGAAATTGAAAATATAAAAATTATTTATATAGCCAGCTTAAGGAGATAGGGGAAGTGGGGAGGCATTAACGCAAAAGCTGTTAGTATACAGTAGTAAATAACATGAAGTTAACTTTAATCACATCATTAATCATGAAAACCAAGAAAATACAGAGGAGCCATAACCCTATCAGAAGTTCCTTCAGAATAGTATTGCCCAAATATTGAGTTTTATAAACCTTTAGATTTGTGTTGGTGAACAAACTCTTTAACTCAGGGATCCACCAAAATACTATTTTACTATTAGTATTGGAGAGTAATTCATAAATGTATTTCAAAGTAGTTCATTTGTATCTTGCACTCAAATTGTTGAGTTTGCTCAGTCTTTTTTTTTTTTTTTTTTCAAGTTTTTATCAGGAATATTGATATGGAAATATTCGGAAAAAAGCTCATCCAGTGAAAACTGTTAACCTAAACCTGTTGTTTGAAAGAAGCGTTTTTCACATTAAAATATTGATTTCTCAAGCTTTTCTTTATCTCTTAAGATCAGTTTTTCTTATAGAAAAGGAGATTGAAGATGCAGTAGCTGTAAGAGTGTGGTAGAATAATTTTTTTTTTAAGTGAAGTAGGAGAAGGAGATTCTGCTGAAGCAGTAAACATAGCACAATTGATCTCCCATGCTTATCCTTATGTTGTTGCTGGTGTTTTGTAGATGAGACAAATTTTGGGTTATGTATTTTTTTAAACGGAAGTTACATGTGAGGACAACAATTGCAGACTTGCTAGATTAAAAAGTGTAAAGGGAGTGCAAGCATTTTTTTTTTTTTTTTGTGTGTGTGTGTGTGTGTGTGTGTGTGTGTGTGTGTGTGTGTGTGTGTGTGTGTGTGTGTGTGTGTGTGTGTGTGTGTGTGTGTGTGTGAGAGAGAGAAATAGAGAGAGTGAGAAATATATATATATATATATATATATATATATATATATATAGAGAGAGAGAGAGAGAGAGAGAGAGAGAGAGAGAGAGAGAGAGAGAGAGAGAGAGAGAGAGAGAGAGAGAGAGAATGAATGAATGAATGAATGAATGGGGAGGGTAGGGGGTGCATATTTGTGTGTTTGTATAAATGTGTTGACGTTGATGTGTTCGTGTTTGTATGTTTATGTGCGTGGGCATGTGTGTATGTATGTGTGTATATGTGCTTGTTTGCATACATGATCATGTGATATTGGTGTGTGTGTTTCTTTGTTTGTTTTTGTGGAAAATATATAAGTGTGCATTCATTTATGCATGTGTCTGTCTGCTTATTTATATATTTTCAGTGTTATATTCATGGCCGTTTGCATTTCTGGCATAGATAGGAACATACTGGAGTTTTAACGTTTTTCCCTTTCATTTAGACAATGTCTAGATCAAGCTTACCTGTATTGATTAATTAATTTCTTATTGAGATGATAAACATTTCACCAATAACTACCTGATATTAGAGGAACCAGCATCCAAAATTGCTGAAACAAGTTGTAGAAGATAATTGACAATAACGGTCCTTCACCTGCCTCCACTTGGCTAATATTAGATGTGAAATTAGATTTTGCTGTTAGATGGTAGAGAAGCAGAGTGTCTTTTTAGGGGATGAAATTTCTTGCAGTGTGGCCATCGATTGTCAGCTGGCACGCATCCATGAAATCGACTGAAACATGCAGGAGTTATAGTGCGAGTTTGGCCAGAAATAAATGTCGGTTAATGAAAGGCATTTTCAGGGGCACTTGCATTACCTAGTGTGCTACACGGCAAGAAACACCAAGGAAAGAAAACGGCAAATTTGATTTTGAGATGTGATGGGTCCTTAACTGAAATTATCTTCGGGTCTAAATCAACGATGATGAATTACAACCCTATTCATGTTGGGAAAATCAGTGCGGCGCGATTTGTAGACACTACATCGTATCTGTCTGTATGTATTTATTCTTTATTTCTGAGATGTGCATGAACCTCGTAAATATGACCGGCATCACTCGCCGAAAATGGGAGCGCTGGAACTTTCGCCCCCCCCCCTCCCCCCCAGAAAAAAGAGGGAGAGTACTTTCGGTCGGTGAATCCAGTAAAGCGGTTAGAGCAGGGGAAGAAGGAGAGGAAGGCGGGACGGGCGTGGAGGCGAGGGGAGAGGCATGACAGGGATCGCATTGAGCAAAGGCCTACAGAATTGTGTCTTAAGGGTGAATGGTGATTGTGCGAGGATAGAGGCAATGTGTGGGCTATGAGTCGGTTGTCGTGTATCTGCTCATTCATGGCAGGGGATATATGTGTGTATGTGTGTGTGTGTGTGTGTGTGTGTGTGTGTGTGTGTGTGTGTGTGTGTGTGTGTGTGAGAGAGAGAGAGAGAGAGAGAGAGAGAGAGAGAGAGAATGAATGGACTTACGTGTTTGTCCCTTTCTCTCTTTTTTTTACCAGAGTACACACACACACACACACACACACACACACACACACACACACACACACACACACACACACACACACACACACACACACACACACACACATATATATATATATATATATATATATATATATATATATATATATATATATATATATACTGTACTTACTAAAGTCTTTGTTAGGCTAAAGGACTCTTGTTCCCGCGTACCCTGTGCCCAGTGCCTCAGGTGTTGTCTGAGATAATTACCTCTTTGGCGACAATTCAAAGGTAGTTTAGAGTAATTAGGGTTCTTGTCAGATCATAGGATTCTGTCCGAGGTAATGATGAAAGAATATAGAAAACATTAATAATGTGGATAGCAGTGATGCTGATTCTGAATATAATGGATGTGAGAGGATACTGTAAGAGTAGTAAATGCATTGGTAGTAAAGATGGTACTGATAAGATTTGTGATAATGATAACAACGACGGTGAAGGTCTGTACAGGAATATAGACTTTGGCGATGATGATGAAAGGGGTGATGATAATGATTATAATAACGATGGTGGTAATCAGTATGAGAGTAATACCAATAAGAACAATGATACTAATAGAGATGTTAAGCATGGGCGAGAAAAAAAACGCGGGCTTTTTTTATATACGCAAGTCCGAACACGAGAGGGACTGCATCCCAACGGTTGTGTCTGATGATAAGATGGTGCAATCCGAGGGACGGAAATACATTGTGGTTGAATAGCTGTTGATGGTAATACTGGGTCAGTGTTAGTATGGAGGGGGATTTTACCTTTGCTTATTTATTGTTCATTGATATTACTTTTGGTGTTTATAGGAAGGGCAGGTAACCCGTTTTATGGATTGTGACTATGTTTTGGTAATGAAGGTTTCGGGGATGAACTAGATTTTAAATTGTTGATCATATTTTGAGACTCCGCAGGTCGTCGTTACTTATTTTCAAAGACCCGACCAAAAAAATGTTATTTGCAAGACCTTGATCACTTGCACAGTAAAAAGTGTACCAATCTCATTGATGATGTGCAGTGGGCCATGACGTCAATATATCGTCAAGATTTATGTAATTATCTATTTGTTTCATTTTGTTATTCGTCGTTTAATACCATAGGCACATCAATTTGAACGTACTAAAAGCATATAATTGTATTAGTTTTTTATTTCACTTTGGTGACTGCTGCAGCTAACGGGTGAGCTTAGAGCCCGGTTCCGTTGAATGCTTTAGTGTTGCCTGTAAATTTACATCATTTTTATATAATTTATTAGGATTTCGAGAGCCCTTATCGGTTGTGGCCAATGAATTGTAATCATGTAGATTTTTTTGGGATAGTTTACACTTTGTGTGGCAACGGTTTTTCGAGCTGAGCATGCTGCTTTCCTTAAAGCCGTATTGGAAACCGAGCGCGGCCTTCCCCGCCGCCGCCTCCCGTCGCGGCGCACCCATTGGCGGAGGGGCTTATCGGCGGCCCCTCTTCGCTGCCATTGGCTCACTTGATTCTGCCGTGCAATTTTGGCGCGCAGCTCCACATGGCTCACAACAGTCTGTGTGTTGGACAGGGGAGCTGGAGAGCTACTACGAGACAGTCTTCGAGAAAATCGGCCTCGCGGAAATCTGTCTAGACATGTTCGAGAAGGGCCCCAAGTCCAAGTTCACCGTCAGCGTCGAGGGGAACATCGGCAGCGGGAAGTCCACGCTGCTGCAGCATTTCGCCAAGTTCAATGACGTGGAGGTCCTGCAGGAGCCTGTCGATAAGTGGAGAAATGTGAGGGGATATAATCTCCTGGTAAGTGCCTGTAGTTTCTTCTATTGTACAAGATACTCAGATTTCCTTGTCTTATAAAGTTGCACAATTGATGCCGTTGATGCTGGTCCCGTCAGATCTCTCATGCACTTGCATCATGACCAGTGTAATGTTTGTCAGAGCATGGATGACGGCTATAGCTGAATATGAACAGAACAGTACCAGCTGGTGCTTCTCTTGAGACTCTTAAACAATGGGCAATTAAATGAAAGTAATTGGTTTATACATTAACACTGTGTCAATATTGTAACAGTTTTACACATAAGTTTTAGCATGTGAGTTTAGTAGATTGTTAATGTATATATTTCACTCTATTTGATAACTGAAATGGCAAATGACTCCCTCAGGACCTCATGTACAAAGACCCATGCCGCTGGGCCCACACCTTCCAGACGTACGTTCAGATGACCATGATGGAGCTTCACCTCAAACCCACGTCATCGCCAGTAAAGCTCATTGAGAGATCATTGTTTAGTGCCAGGTATGGTGTTTTTTATTTGTCTGTTTGTTTACTTGTTTTGTGTGTGTGTCTGTCTGTATGTATTTAAGTCTGTATGTCTGTGTCTGTCTGTCTGACTGACCTTGAGAAAGAGCACAACTTGGGCCAAATGCTAGCTTGATTATATATGCTCTCACAAATTCTTTATATGCTTTTGAAATATAATTCCATATTAGTTTCATGTTTTTCCTTTCAGATACTGTTTTGTAGAAAATCTGTTTCAAGGCGGTAAGATGACAGAGCCAGAATATAATGTGTACTGCGAATGGTACAATATGATTACACAGAATCTCAATGTTGATGTAGATCTAATTGGTAAGTAAGATACTGCAAGTCTGTCTGTGGTTATAATCTTATATATTAGCACATAATGACTTGATTTATATAGAGGTGCCTTAAAAAGCAATATCTTTGAAATATTTTAGTATAAACGACTCTGAAGTAATGTTTCTAGTTGATATAAATATGTGGTTTTGATATTGCTGTTAAACAATTATACATTTCATTCAGTTAGCTTTTTAATGATCAGGAGTTTTTGTTTTTAAGTTAGGTTATGGAGAACTTATGTATATTTTTATTGAAATCCTTTTTAGTTAAAATGTGATTAATCAGTTTTAATTAAGCTTCACTAATAAGGTATCTGAAGAATCTTGGTCTCTGCCATACTAGACCATTATTTGTCTCGTAGTTTGGGAGTAATCAGTTTATTTTGTAAATAATTTATTAGATGTCTTTGTATGTTTTCATATCAGAGAAGAAATGCCCTTGCAGTGCATGTGGCAAGATATGACACAGATAGTACACATTGCCATAGATATGTTACTCTTAATAAGCTTATGTATAATTAGGAAAGCATAGAAGATTCCCATAACAGTCTTTTAACATTCACCAGTCTGTCAGAGCATTTCATATGATATAACCATTCTGCCTAGCATTTCAACTCCTTACGTTCACAAGATTCTTTAATCTCGGGTAGGCAAGAAGGTGTGTTCTTTGTATATTGTGCATCAATTATCGGGCTGTCTCTTGAAGGTAAAGAGATAGCTCCTCGACTGATGCAGAGCAATGGAGGAACCGAGGAGTACTACTTCTAGTTGGCAGTACTTGCGATAAGCCTCCTACATGGATTAGTTGATAAGATACTTTGCATCTGTTTCTAGTCTTCCCATTGCTTGCTTTCTGTCGTGCATTCCATCCATCCATTTATTAAATCTTCCGTCTTCCTGCTCTCTTTGTTTCTGTGTAATTATTTGCCTCCTATTAAACTGTGTACCATTTTTTTTCCAGTGTACTTGCGAACAGACCCAAAGAAAGTCCATGAGCGCATCAGAAAGCGAGCTCGTTCTGAGGAACAGACGATCCCAATGCAGTACTTGGAGGATTTGCATAAATTGCACGAAGATTGGCTGATCGAAAAGAAGCACCCCCTCCCTGCGCCAGTACTGATCTTGGATGCCAATGAAAACCTCTGTACCATGTGAGTATGAGAAATACCATGTAGTATAGATGAATGTATATAGTAAATGTACATGACTAATAATGTCTCTGATTTTCTGTGATTTCAAGGGAATTTTACTCAACAGTTTATTATTTTTATGATCATCATCATTTATCATTTACTATTGACCAAACTCAATTAACTGAACTCAGTTAACTGTAGCCAGGTAAAATTTACAGCTTTTTATTTTCTGAATAAAGATCTTATGAACTTTTTTTTCCTCAGGTACAAGAAATTTGAAGAACATACTTCAGAGATCTTATGTAAAAAACTAGTCAAGAACAAGTTGAAAGAACTTGAAGATATTGGAGAAGCGTTAGTATCTTAAGTCTCGTTTACATTTTGGTGATTATACATGTTTTCATGCCAATATATAGCTATAAACATTTAAAGAGAGTTATCAATATGTAAACTGTCAGTAAAGAGGACCACTAGCAGTCATTTCAAGGCTACCACATGCCAGGGATGATGCCTTTCATTCCATTTCCATGATCTTCT